TGGTAAAAATTCATTCCGTTGTTCCGACTGCCCCAGGTGTGTAAGTACCCTAGGGAAATATATGACGTCATAAATCGCTGCCATTTTTGTAATGTAAGCACTGGTGCTTTCGAGGTAAGTATGGAGTGTAGAGAGAAGGAGGACCATCTGTATACATGAAAAGAGTTCCTAAAAACGTGTCCAATAAGGATGGCACTGCAGTAGCATAGGATAAATTAAAAAAAAAACACCAAAAGTAATTAGAATAAGATGGAGAAATAAACAAGGACCGACCAATCCGCTTGGTTTTGTACTACGTAAATAGTTGAGATTTTGTATACTGGCATTTTACTAGCTACTCTAGTCATGAAATTTTTTAAATATTTGAATTCAGCTGACTTCACTCCGTTCACAACAGCTATCTTCATATCGTAGTTTTTCAGACGCCAGCGCTATTGTGGTAGATTTTGGAACCTCTATTTTCAGTAAATAGTAGGACACTTTTTCAACTTTCGCCCTTTATAAGACGGTTCTCCTTGTACGAGGGCGGCACTGAAACTTTCGGGAATCAAGGAAGTGACACAACATTACTATTTAAAAATGTATTTATTGCTTTTGAAGTATTCTCCGCGAAATTTGACACATTTTTCCATACGATGGAACCAATTATTGAAGCAACAATTCCATTCGGAAGTTGGGGTCTCCAAAATGGCCGTTTTGTAGGCGTCCACAGCTTCTTCAGGTGATGAAAATCTCTGTCCACGCAATTTATTCTTTATTTTAGGGAAAGTATAGAAATCATTAGGGCTTAGGTCGGGGTTGTACGGCGGATGGTCTAATAATTCTATGTTTTCTTGCTCTAAAAACTCTTTTGTTCTGTGTGCGGTGTGAGAACTCGCATTGTCGTTATGGAGGATGATGCGGCGGTTGCAGTTCTCTTTACGGAGTTCAGAAACGACCTGTGGCAAACAAATGCTAGCATACCATTCTGCATTAACCGGTCTTTGTCCCTCAAGAGGAATAGTCGTAACATGACCGGTTTTGGAGACAAACGTGGCCACCATTTTTTTTGCAACACTCCGTGAACGAACAATTTTTGTTGGCTTTAACTCATTTTCGAACACCCAAACTCGTGACTGGTTTTTTGTTTCGGGTTCGTACGCGTATATCCAGGATTCGTCACCTGATACGATGTTGTATACAGCATTTGAGGATCTTGCGTGGAATCTTTCGAGAGTTCTGACGCACCAAGTAACGCGAGCCGCTTTTTGCTCTTCACAGAGCGAATGCGGTATCCATCGGGAAAACAACTTTTTTACACCTAATTGTTCATGCAAGATTATTTGTATTTGACTCATGCCAATGTCTAAAGTTGCCTGAATTTCGCGGTATGTCACATGTCGATCTACCTTAATCAGCCTACGCACAGCATCAACGTTTTCTTGGGTGACTGCAGTTTTTGGATGACCTTGACGGGGATCATCACTTAGCTTGACACGTCCACGTTGAAATTCAGTAAACTAGCGATAAATTGTGGTTTTGGATGGGGCTTCATCACCAAATGCAGAAATCATCCGGTCAACACACTGTTTTTGTGTTAAACCACTTCGAAAGTCATAATAACTCATCGCTCTTGAATTTTCTCGAGTCAATTCCATTTTCTCAACGACTAAACAAGTTTGATAAAACCTTGCGGCAAGACCGAGAATCTTTTTTTATATAAATAAATGGTATACGATTTTTAAAACCAAGGAGTTCTCAATTAATAAGATTTTAATATGATAGGAACAGTGGAAATATTCTATTCCCGATACTTTTAGTGCAGCCCTCGTACTCTACACTCCATAGAGGTAAGGTAGTATCAGTGCTTTGATTATATGATCAAATCGGCTAGAGATTGTTATTATTATTAATTAATATTGTTGTTCAAATAAACTCGGACATTCAGTTTTAAAAGCACGAACATTCAAATAATAGTTTTTCTTGTTGATCAGAAATCGTGTACATGATAAATATTTTCATTTGAAAACAGTGTTGAAAAATGGGGACGGCAGTATACTGGACTGCGTTTCGTTTTAAAAAAAAAACCGGTATAGCAAACTAAAAAGGAACGGCTTCACAGTATACTGAATTTACGTTATAGCTTACAGTGGTCACCGTGTATATCGGAACATAACCTATAATTTCGATTTTTCAAAGTGATCGCAAACTTTTGCATGCCTTAAGCGAAAGCGCAAGGTATGTTCTCCTATCGCCTAAAAATTAAGATTAAAACGTTTTATCGAATGAAATCGTATCTAGCAATCATATTATACGTATAAATGATTAAAAAGCACATTGTTAGAAAGATAAATGATTGTTGAACTTATTAATATTTTTTTTAAATCGATGAATTGCTATTTTTAAATAAAAAAAGGGGTTTTAGTGGCTTATGGTGTGGATTTATTAAGTCTGCAAGGCTTGTAAACACTTTACCTTTTGAAAATATCAATTGTTTAACTCTAATCTATTTTTAATCTCTTCATCTATCGTGTGGGAAGCCACTGAATGTACATAGCAGTGTAATTTTGTTTTGTTTAGCTATAATTAATTGATTCGGCTCCAAAATGGCGTAATTTTCGTTGATTTGGTAGCCTTGTATGTAAATTATTTTTCTAAATAGGCGGAAGCCGCACTCCGAGCTACAGCCACAGAGTACTTTACTCACTCACTCAGTTCGGCGCACAGAGTACATTATATATAGAGAGTAGAGCCATCACTTAGAATCGTAGCATTAGCGCCATCTATCGATATACGACGTCCCTACAGCCCAGCGGAGTAGGATGCTCTTTATTACAATATTTATTATTTATTTTTTCAAAGTAATTTCCAAAAGTCAAACCATTTTAAGATTAGATTTGGCTTTTTGAAATTACTTTGTATACAATATAATTTAGGAAAATAAAACAACTGTTCAGCGGTTGGATGTTTTTTTTATAATGCTTCCTTTTATTATAATTGTACACAACAACCTCTCTCAAAAGAAGCCATAATCCAGGTCAACAGAGCACAAATATTTAAGCAAATCAGGGTCCAGAGTTTCATGCGTAAGTCCAACGAAAAAGGCGAAGTTTTGGAGTCCGGGTTTCAAGCAGTTGACAAAAAAATCTTATAAACACACACACACACACACACACACAAACACACACACACACACACACACACACACACATACACACACACACACACACACACACACGCACACAAACAAACTACTAGTTTTAGTTTTTTTAATTATAGTTTTTAATATTGTTTAAAATTATATTAAATTTAAATGACATTTGTAACATTGACAGACCATAAACGGAGAAAACAATTTGCAACGGCGAAATCATAATAATTCACTTGAATAAATGTAAAATTAATAAATTATACTAAAAATTTAATTACAAATTTGTTTTGGAACAAAATAGTAAGTTAGCAAGGTTCGTTTATGTTTTTAACTATTCATTAATTTGTTCGATTATTAATTGGCCTATACTCTATTCCAATTACGAAGTCCCATTTGACAGATGTCAATAATCAAGTACTAGTAAAGACCGCTATAGTCGATACTTGACGATATTGATCTTCGATTACTATAACGAACAAATTAAAATCGTATTGACAGGAAAAGGATTAGCATCAAATGAAAATTTATAAAACTGTTTTTTAATTTTAATTAGATAATATTACATGATATTTTTATCAAGATGGAACATATTCATCATCACTAGCCGAAATCGATATTTCATGGTCGGCATCGTCGTCATCACCCTCATCATCGTCTGTAGAATCCCCTGTATTTATTATAATTTGGTTATCTATGACGGCACCGATATGTATGTCTCTGTCCCAATCAGCGAAAATCAAATTTTTTGTTCGTAAAACCACACTTTCTCAATTCGCGGCAGTAAGACTATCACAAGCTTCTTGCAACAATGACAGCATTTTGTTTGCAGTAAACGGTGGGCTGGTATTTTTACGAGCCGCATAACCTAAAATAAAGGTTTGCGTGTTAATATAGCAATAGATAAAATGTTAAAATAGGTAAAAATAAATTATAAAAAAGATTTGTTTAAACTCTTGCCTTTAATTTGCACCCAAATCAATTCTATGGCATTGTATTGACAATGGTAGGGTGGAAGGCGCATTACATTGTGTCCGACTTCCTTAGCCATTTCGTCCAATACGTATTTTGGTCTAGCTGGCTTATTTATAGCAACCAAATGCAGCAGCTCAACTTTTAACATGGACATGTCAGCAACAATATTATTGTCATTCAGCCATTTCACAATATCTGCTTTTTTCCTGCTAGAAGTTGAATGCTTACTTATTTGTACTGAATGATACGGTGCATTATCCGTAATGGTCGTCGATGGCTCATTCAAGTTGGTCAATAAGGTACAAAACCATTCCTTAAATTTAACAAAATTCATCTCTTCGTGGTATTCCACAGTTTTCTTAGATTTAAACGCCAAAAGGCAGTTCGGAACAAATCCCTTCACAAATAATTAAGCGTTCGCCTTTGCCACTAGGTACTTTTGTGGAGGAGTGAGGAGTGTCGTCTGTCCATATCTTGCCAACTGTATGATTAGCGTTTAGCCACGTCTCATCTAGAAATATAACATTATTCCAAACGGCAATGGACTTAGCTGATCTTGGAAAATTAAATCTGGCTAAAGCTATATCTCTACGTTCCATCAAAATCCGCCTTTTATCACATTTTTTATAAGAAAAGCCAACATTTTTTAAAACCCTCCAGAAAGAAGTTCTACTGCCGTGAAACAGTCCAGATTCTCGTAAAGTATTTGACAGTTTGTCGAGAGTCGGCAATTCGTTCCTATTATAGTAGCCATAGATATGGTTTCTAATAGGGGGTTTACACGGGTCGTTTTTCGCCGTGCGGCGAGTCGCTTCACTAATTGCCTCAAAAAGCCGCATCGCTAGCCCATTTACACAGATTACTAAAATCGCATGCGGCTCTGTCATTTCCATCGAAAATGTTGAGCAGAATAGCCGTTTGTGCCGGAATTGAAATAATTAATTATTCAATTATTCAACAATTGCTTAAAGAACAAAGAGAGAAGAAAAAACAAAAGGAAAGAAGAAAACGTAATATTTGGGTACGTGGATGGATTTCTCGACGTAAGGACTTGGGTGCTTCGGATACTTTATTGGTTGAGTGGAGTTTAGAAGATCCTGATTATTTTAAAAAACGATTAAGAATGACTACTGATCAGTTTAATACTTTACTACATAAGGTTACTCCGCTTATACAAAAATGCGATACCAATATGCGAGTAGCACTTTCTCCGAAAATTAAATTAGAAATAACCCTGAAGTTCTTGGCTACCGGTGATAACTATTCAAGTCTTGCAGAGTCATTTAGAGTTCCAGAATGCACAATTTCCTTGTTTTTGAAGGATGTTTTGGATGCTATATACAATGTTTTACAGGAGTTTATTATGGTAAGTGAAACTAGTAATTAATTATAAACGATTTATTTATAAATTTTCCATTGTGTTTTCATCTATAAGCATGACCTAACAGCTTGAGATAGAATATCGTCGTTCACTGCGTATTGTTGCCCAGTATTTTCTTGTGTTAATAAACAGCTGGCAAAATAGTCTTCTTCATAATCGAGGTGCCTTCTAGAAGTGGAAGCTTCGGGAGTCGAAGTTTCACGCTGGTTTTGAAAAGCTTGGTTTCGGCAAGTAGTAGCTTCGGCTTCTGGAGTCGAAGTATAGCGTGTATACTCTGAGAGTGAACTCGTAGGTCTAGCAATTGGAAAAAGTTGTGTATTTAAGGTTTTCAGTCTTTCTTGTGACAAATAATTATTAATGAAATTTTGACAAACAATAGCATTTCTTAATGGCAAACTACGTAATTGGCTTGCCACATGTACTCCGAATGTATCAAATTCATCTTGACGGATAGTTTGAGCCAAAGTTTCTAATCTATTGACTGCTTGTAAAACAGGTGGGTCCATTTTAGGTGCGTCCATTGGAGCACGCTCCGCCTTTTTCTTTGGAGACAATTTTTTTTTCTTTTGTAAGGGCGCAATATTAGATTCTTGTTCCAATTCATCAAAATATGAAGATGCGTCGCTGTGTGTGTTCACCACTGAATCTTTTCCCTGTAACCATACACTAATATAAGTTTATTTCTTTTAGGTGCCATCCACCACAGATCAATGGAAGAAAATACAAAAGGATTTTTTAGATCGCTGGCAATTTCCTTTTTGCTGTGGGGCTATTGACGGGAAACACGTATTAATCGAAAATCCACCACACGGAGCATCAGACTATTATAATTACAAAGGCACTTATAGTGTGGTGTTGTTTGCTATAGTGGATGCACATTACCGTTTCATATATATAGATTTCGGAACTAATGGACGCATGAATGATTCGCATATTTGGAAAAAAACAAAGTTCTATAGTGCTCTTGAAAGAAATAATTTAGAACTACCTAATAAGGCAGTTTTCGTTGGTGATGATGCTTTCCCTTTGGCAACCTATTTAATGAAACCGTATTCAAGACATGAAGGTTTGGAACACAAACAAAAAATCTTTAATTACAGACTATCAAGAGCACGCCGAATCGTAGAGAATGCCTTTGGCATAATGGCTTCACGATTCAGAGTATACAGAAAACCTATATCTGTTTCATTGGATAAAACTGATTCTATTATTAAAGCGACCTGTGCGCTGCATAACTGGCTTCGGACTAATCTCATATACATGAATACTCCCGAATTAGTAGACGGAGAAGACTTCAGTTCAGGGACAATCAGAAACGGAAGTTGGAGAAGCATTCCTACGGCAGGAGTAGACGAATTAATGACACCGCTATCTTCTAATAACTATTCACGAAATGCAAAAGATCTGCGCGATAGATATGCTGACTATTTTGTCGGACCAGGAAAAGTTTCATGGCAAGATAGAATGATTGCGTAAATATTGTATGTTTATTTAAGTAATATTATAAAAATGGCCCTGTTCACAATTTACCTATTATAATTTATAATATGCGAACAAGAATAACTATTTAATAAATAATAATAAGACTTACCATGGTATCTTTACTGTTTCTTCCTTCTATCACTGCTTTAAAAAGCGGTCAGCTACAGATAACCAAATTAATTGAGGTCTGTATACATCATCCTTTCCCGCGCCACTCTTCTTTGACTTTGCTACCTTACTGGCCTCTCTATTATACGTGGTTCGTATATTTTTTATCTTCAATTTAAGCTCTTCAACTGTTATGGACAAACGCATTTCTTGAATAATAGATTTAAGAGCCGCTAAACGTACATTATTGTTCCTGTAATCTTGTTCTCTTGGGTTCCATAAGCATGGATGCATTTCATAGCATTCCAAAAACTGTATGGTGTTATTTTTATTCATGGTTGTTACGATACATATACACAGAAACGCTGTAGTAAATAAATACACGTGCGTGCGCGAAACACCTTCATGCGGCGGGCGATCGCCTGCAACTGATCGTTTACACGGTCGATTTTAGTCACCAGTCGCTTGCGGCCGGTTGCCGCGCGGCCAAAGTCGGATGCTACCCAACTTTGGGACTTGCGGCTTTAGTCACTTGCAACTTAGCCGAATTGCCATTTAGATGGTCGATTTACACCGCGCGGCAAAAATCGTGCGGCTTTAGTCACCCGTGTAAACCCCCCGTAATGGCGTCGTTATCAAAATTGTCGATATGTGTAACTATCGATCTTCTAACTTTTTTCTTAAGTGGCGATTTTAATTTGTAATCTTCCATTCAATCTTTACCATGTTTTTCCTTACTTATTCGGGAAACAGTTTTTCGACTAATACCAAGAGCTGCACTTACTCGGTTAGTCACTCGTGAAAGTGGCAACAATGGACCTCCATTCTGATACTCTCTTTCAAAGTAATCTTGTAGGCGTACTACAAACTCGCGCTTGACTGCGCATCACTGTTCTTTTAGTGGTCTCAGTTTCGGCCATAGTGTTTATAAATACAAAAAAAAACACAAATTAAATAACTGTCAAAACTTAATAAACTACAATAACAAGAACGAAATAAAAACACAACACAAAATCAACTAAACTGAACACGCGTATCGTATACAAAGCTTCTGCACTCGTACTGAAGAGACAAACAAAATGGCGGTCGTGATCACGAAGTGAACGCAGTGTTGTCAGATTTTCACTCGCGAAAAGAATCTGTCTATAATCGATTTTATACGATTCTTTTGGTCACGTCCCTATGTAAAAAAGTGAAAATAAAACTATAGAACGTAAACGCAAAACGGCAGTAAAATATTATTATCTTTTAGAGTTTTAATTATTTTGAGCACGATGTCTAAAAACAATATGTTGATTGTGTCTGTGAATTAATTGTATAATGATTTAGATTGATTGTGTATTTTTAAATGATGATTTACGACCATGAACAAAAATGATTATTATTTCAAATTATGCGAAACGTGAAGAGTTACGTTCTAAGAAGTGTCAAAAGGGACTTCGTAATTGGAATAGAGAATAACATGGCTAAATTTTAAAAATAGTGACATCTACTGCAACATGGACAAACTTTCATGACATATTAATACCTCTAAGAAACATTATATTATGGACTGTTATGCCACTGGTTCGGCGTTAGTCGCCGTCGTGAGTGGACATTGTTTCGGTTGTTTGCAAAGGCTCAAAAAGATCGCTGTACAAATACACAATATTCGAATAACCAAATTTCTTAAATACTTGATTATAATAATAATGAGAGATTTTTTTATTACAATATTTTAAAAGCACGAATAAATAATAGTAGTACGTACTAAAAGTAAGTAGTATAAATTTTTTTGTCCTGGGTGACATTTTCATGGTTTTCTAGGGTGTTGAAACCGATAGGTTTGTCGAAATGTAAATCCAAGATGGCGGCCGCAATAGGTATCATTTTTTTCATCATGGGTGTAATTTACATGGTTTTCGAGGGTGCTGAAGCCGATAGTGCTGTCGAAATGTAAATCCAAGGTGGCGGCTGCAATAGGTATAAATTTTTTCATCGTGAGTGTCATTTTCATGGTTTTCGAGGGTGTTGAAGCCGACAGTGCTGTCGAAATGTACGTCCAAGATGGCGACTGAATTAGGTACTAATTTTTTCATCATGGTCATTTTCATGGTTTTCGAGGGTGTTGAAGCTGATAGTGCTGTCGAAATGTAAATCCAAGATGGCGGCTGCAGTAGATATCAATTTTTCATCTTGGGTGTAATTTTCATGGTTTTCGAGGGTGTTGAAGCCGATAGTGCTGTCGAAATGTAAATCCAAGGTGGCGGCTGCAATATGTATCAATTTTTTCATCATGGGTGTCATTTTCATGGGTTTCGAGGGTGTTTAAGACGATAGTGCTGTCGAAATGTAAAGCCAAGATGGCTGCTGAAGTAGGTACCAATTTTTTCATCATGGTTTTCGAGGGTGTTGAAGCCGATAGTGCTGTCGAAATGTATTTAAACTACTTTAAAAATTCCGTATAATCATTTTATACGTAATTTTTTTAATGCGCTTAAGGCATGCCCAATTGGATTTACCAATTTTTTTAAATTAATTTTTGATGTGTATACTGATAAGGCAGATAGTGTTGACCACAGAGTACTTTTTTATGTAGGAAATAGAGGTCTCTCTCGACGCCTTTAAATGGGAATGACTGCCGTCTGCATGCGTGAGATTGAACTATTTTAAGTTCAGTATATATATACATACATACATACATACATACGTATAACTAGAAATAGGTACGACGCCTTATGTTTATTGTTATTTTATTTTTTCATTTGTGTAGCTATTTTCCTTAATTCCGTGTATATTACAAAGAGTACATTTTCTTTACTCGGTATATATTCTATTATATTCAGTTCAAACACGGAATGAAGAAAAGTAGCTGTATAAATAGAATAAAATAATCCAACGACAATTTTTATGCGAGCACACACAAGAGGGAAAAATTTACAGTAATAAAACCACAATGTATTTAAATTGATAATTTATTTCGTCTCTTAAAACACTTATGAAAATATTTTTTCGCCTTTATTTGCAATACATCCTCATCATCCATTGGAGTCTCTCTTCCCTTTTAATATTTCGTTTATATCTTTATAATAATTATTTATGAAAAATCTGCAAGATAAATTCTATAACTTTGTCTTTGTGTCGATTACAATTTAAAAAAAATCTAATTCTATATGCAGAAGTATTATCGTTTTTATGAATTCTTTCATATTTTCATAATATAAATGACGTTTTAAGATGTCATTAGTCATATCTTTTATTGAAGATATGCAACAGAGGAGAGATTCGGAAGGACTGACAAGCCAACGTCTGTTCTCGGTGTTTAATATACTCATTTTCTTGAGAGGCAACCATGTCCTTAGTGCATTGCTGGCAATTTTTAAATATATTCTTTCTCGCACTGCGTACAAAATATCCGCTCACAAATTGTAGAGCGCCTAACACGCGAGGATCATTTTTTTTCATCTATGTCAGTTACTTGCACTGTGGGTATGCTCTCAACTTCACTGGTCACCGTGGCCTGGCAGTTATTTATGGTGAGGGTGTATTAAACTTCACAATAGTCTTTTTCATAATTTGCCCCAGGGGCATGGACACTTGATATATTATTTATTAATAAGCTGGTGTAGGCACTTTCAAACCTTTCTGCTGTGGGGTTTGTATTGCGGCACCCATGGCTCCTAATGGCCCCGAAAAAGTTTTCTATAGGGTCTTGATTTAGGTGCCGGATCCAAACAGAAGTTATGCCATAATCGTTTTTTAAATTATTTTAAAGTATTTGAACATCATCTAGTGTCCATACCCAATCTTCCAAAGTAGGGACTTTTTCCAGCTTTACCTGTTACAATGTTTGTAAATTTCATGTTTCTCAATTCAATTTTAGCTTTATTCCATACACTATTGTGACTAGAATTTGGTCTTGCAGGTTCAAATAATGGCTTTCCATGTTGTTTCCGTTTTGTGTAGCTCCCGTTTAATGAATCAAATAGTTGATCAAAAAAAAAGGAGAATATCAGCTGTCTCTTTACTTTCTTCAGGGAGAATTCCTTTGTCTGTGGAAAAAAAATGTCTTAGCAACATAATTATGAATTTATGTATTACTAGCGATCCACCCCAGCTTCGCACGGGTGATTTCTGGAACTCGACAACAACGGCCTCTCCCGGGTCCAATTATGAATCCAAACCATCCATAACTCAAACACAAAACAATTCATCAGAATCGGTCGAGTCAGTTTCGAGTTTTAATGAGACTAACAGTTGATTTTTATATAAAGAGATTTGTAGTTTCAGAAGTATTGCGTAATCGCTTTAAACTTCAGTATGGATAGAACATTTGAAAATATAATACAATTGACCCGCGGTTATCTGACAAATATTTTGCATGGCAGTGTTGGATTATCAAATTTGTCGGACTATATAGTACTGTCACAGCCACCCGGTAATCCGGAACTTTTTGTCCACATATTCGCGAAGAACACCTCCCTCCGTGGCGAATTCATAACATGACTCGACTGTATCTACATGTTATAGGCATGTCGAATTATAGGAGGTCCGGGGTCCAATGTATAAAAAGTTTGTGTAGACTAGATAGACTAGAATTTTATTATTAATGTATAATCAGTTACATCATTTTACCTGCTAAATATCCCATAATAGATGCTACCGTTTCACTGAAGATTTGTGTGGCATATTTGACCTTCATTTTCGAAATTTTATTTGGTATGACATGATTGTAAATTGCTTGATAAATCACAAAAACAAAAGAATTTAACAAATATAACGAGTCTCTATCTCAAACATAAACAGTGAACAATTTCGCACAACCCAACGTAGACGTGGAGGAGAAGGACACGGCACTCAACTCAACTCAATAAACTCGACAAGAAAACGCAATATGCAAAAATATCGAATTTAATCAAACCACCGACTGGAAGCACGATAAATTGACATTTGAGACCATTTTGTTCTGATTTGAATATCCCGTCCGGAGTGGCCGTGAATAAAATTTCTACTTATTCACGGCCTTATTACTTATTCTAATTTCAAAACAAAAATAGTAAAAATATATATTTTTAAAATGTTTATCGTGTAATATTATTTACTAAAATATCGATATATCGCGATTTAATATATCGACGATATATTTCGATGTTTTTATTAAAAAATATCGATATTTTTTGCCCACGACTAGAACTCATCGAAATTTAAAGCGAATATTCAGCAAATTCTGCATTTTTCAATATTCGGCTCAGCGGCGGATTACAAATCGCTAAAGAGATTGTTTGACGCCTTATTGGAGAAATCAGAAGAGTTTAATAGTTCTCGATCCCGAGCAATGCTGTATCTGAAGATATTCCTATCGTACGTCGTCAACTCGAATTTATTACCGATACCATGTTTGTTGTGCAATCTTTCAACGAACCGAGGATTTGGGAATATCTGGGTAATATATAATTAAAAATTAAAAATTTTGTAGAACCAACTTCACTATAAATTATTAAGAATAACTCAAAAGGTACTGTTCAGACCTTGATCAAATTGGGACCATATGAGAAGCACAAGCTTTCAAATAAAAAAATCATCGAAATCGGTTCACCCAGAACAAAGTTATGAGGTAAGAAACATAAAAAAAACACAGACGAATTGAGTACCGTCTCACCTCAGGTTTGATCTATAGTAAAATACATTCAGTAGAAATATTGCAATTCAAATACGCACACTACATTAAACTCAACTGTGTATGGCAATGGTTCATCATTATTTACGTTTTACGATCATGCTACGCTAAACAAAGTATCGTCATCACAATGTTATTGAAATAAAATAAAAACAACATCAGTACCTACAAACTGAAATGTAATAATTCTAATGTAACTAATTTTAACGTAAATTTTATGCATTATAAATATAATTACAATAAAATACCTCTATTCTCAAATATATTCACTTGTAGATTTCAATCTCTTCTTTTTTTGATATACAAAAGGCGACTCCACTCTTTTTATTTCTTTTGTTCTGATAACGCACGCGACCGACTGGCAAGTTAGTGACATCTCTAAGTTATTGTTTTACTCTGGAAATGTATGATTATAAATTACTAATTTTCAGTAGATCATAATTCCTACGACAAAACAGCCCTAATGTTTTAGGTACGTTTTTTTTCTCTTTATTTGGTCTACAAAACAGAACACAATTTCAACATGCTGACAGGTATTATATAAAACAAAGATTTCAAAAGTTGTATTTTAATATATATGTAGACACAGCTTGCACAAAATGTATCTGTAATTAACAATAAAGTTTGGCACTTAAAGTTATGTTATATACATGCTAAACCAAATACCAGATTAAATTAAGACTGCAGTCCTTGAGCGTGGGAACTTCTAATAGAACACCTACATTGATATTTTTTAGTCACAGACGCATCGCGCAGTTTTAGTATACACACCCTGGACATGAATAAATTACTTTTGGTGCTTCGTACAAGTTACATATTCATCACGTGGTTGTCTTCGTAGGATGTTCATGAATGTCACAAAAACACGCATTGTATGTAGCCATTTGCAATTTCTTCTGTGTCATTTGCTTGTCACATAGCGAAGTACGCGAGGCCGTAATTAATAGCTGATGGCCAAGGGTGGGATCAGAGTGTACGCTTTCTAGGTATTATTTTAACCCTTAATTTGGCAAAGAATAAAATGTAATAAAATCATAATTTTTTTTATAAAAATTTATTGTAAACATTTATAGGTGTTACAAAAAAATAGTGAAAAAATATAGGAACTTCAGATTTCCTGAAAAACAATGTATGTCACAGCATACATTGCCAAGTGCCCATAAAAACATTAAGGAAATGTGTTGTATGCCGGGACATACACAGCCAGTTACAGTACAAAATGATAATAATAATACCAGAATGTTACTGTCCCACTGCTGGGCAAATGCCTCTTCTAGAATGCCAAAAAAGAAAACAAGGTAACAACGCCTAGAAATGGCCAACTTTACTAAACCCGCACATGGTAGTCTAATTGACAATTCCTAGAACTTTTTCCGGTTACAAAGCACAGACGGACTTGGCATTTTATACATAACACTGACGTTAGCTTTGAACATAGCCTACAACGACCTTGGCTGGTCATTGTCATAAAATGGCCAACACTGTCATAGCGTGACGATTCTACCGGGTTGACTTGTGGTACACGCTTTGTGTGTTTATCGGTAAGGGTGCGTCCGAACTTTGTCAACCCCTCAGAAATCTCAAATCGAAAATCCTTGAGAGGCTTCCATTGTTTTTGCGATTTTGAGCAATCTTGTCGGTATAGAAGCCACGCATTATTGATACATATGTCGAGAATTTGCGCAAATATGCCGATGTACCAACGCCGGGTCTTGAATGGGGTTTTGTAAAGAGAAATGAGCATATCGGCTAAATCGACTTCCCCCATATGTTTATTATAGTCTTTGACAATTTGAGGGCAATCTACATCCACTTTGTTTTTAGAGTCCTTGCAGTATCTTTTAATTTTTTCTACTGGCTCTGCACCTACGTAAGAACTTATCAATGTTACGGCTTTGTTGTCGTTCCACCGTACTATTGCTAATCGGTTTTTATCGCAGACCACTTGAGCATAACTACCGCGGGGTTTCTTTTTCATATCTTTTTCTGAGGGCAGAACTGCTTCAGCTCTTCTCAACCTGTTGCTCCTGACTGTTCCCAATCCAAATATTCCATAGTCTTCTCTAAGTATATAAAGTAGCTCCGGGCAAGTAAAGAAATTGTCGCAGAAAACAAAAGCCGGTTTATTTTTTATACTTTTACACAAAGCAATCACAACCTGAGCCCCAAATCCAATGGAAACTTCCTTATCTTTAAAGTATGAAATCTAAATGTGTCCTCGCCACCATACAAAAGAAAATCATAAATCATGCCCGACACTCCAGCACGAACATAGTTTTTGAAGCCCCACTTGTTGGGTTTATGCTTCATGTATTTTTTTTCTTTTTTTATTCAATATACATTACATGTGTAATTCTTATTGAAAGTCATTTTTTACTTTACCACTGGTTCGAAAAAAACCCTCTGTCCTGGGAAGAACCAGCAAGAAACCCAGCGGGACTTTTTTTTTAAAAATAAATTTTATAATATAAATGATTACGAACTATTTACAAAATTTATTTTAGAAACTGCTTGGAAGCGATCACCTCATTCCCAGGGGTTATTATCAACCATGTATTCATTTATACTATAATAACCCTTTTTATATAGTTTCAGCTTAATAAAACATTTAAACTTGGTAATAGAGAGAACCTGTACACTTTCCGGGACCTTGTTGTAATAGCATATACATTGCCCCAAGAATGAATTACTGACTCTGTGGAGTCGAGAAACTGGTATCACTAGCTTGTGTTTGTTCCTAGTGTTTACAGAATGTATATCACTTTTTTTACTAAAACTACTTTTGTTTTTGTGTACATACATTAAATTTTCGTAAATACACTGAGAGGCCAAAGTTAATATATTTATTTCTTTAAATTTATCTCTAAGAGACTCTCTCGGTTTTAGATTGTAAATAGCTCTAATGGCCCTCTTCTGTAAAACAAAAATAGTTTCTTGACGTCGCTTACCCGCTTAGGGCCCTTTATAGGGAATCATCATTTCGTCAATGCTGTATTTCTTTTCGTTATCTTGAGCTAAGCAATTTTCTCGAATTTTTGTAATAAAGGCCTAACTTTATAATATCTGTCGGAGTCTTGTATATTGTTATCAACAAAATGCAAATGACGACGGATTTGTTGATACCGTTTTAGAGACATCTAATCGGCTATGGGATCGTATCTGTACCGCAAACTCCAGTAATCGGTGTACGAGGGCATACTAATAACACCCATGATAATATGAATTGCTAAAAAATCTCGCAATTCATCTTCGGTCAAGCCAAGAGAGCGCCCAGTTTTGAATACTGCGTATGAGTTTGTTTGCTCTACGGTATCTACTAAAACGTCAGGGGAAAAGAATTTATAGAAATAACCGAGTGAAGTTTCGTTTAATATGTCGGTGTGATTTGAGTCTTCTTCTACAGTTGCCTTGTGTCGAAAAACCGTTTTTTTCCACTGATAGTTCAGAGTGAACTTGGTGATTCGAATAGGTCGTCTAACAGCAGAAACAGTGGGTCGTTGCGATCTGGTATTTCTGGGACGCGACTTGGAAGAAGCCCTTATGCGAGCTGCAACTAAGCCAGTTATGGAGCCACTTGCTGTTGGTTCAGGCGGTGCGGGGGATTCAGGAAGTGCAAGAGTTGCTGGGGTTGCAGGAGTAGCGGGAGTTGCTGGGAGTGACGGAATGTCACTCAGGATTGGCACTTTTTTACAATTTGGTTCTAGGGACGGGCTTGAATATACGCTTCGAAAAATTGGTGTGAGTCGTACATTCTGGTCGGAGGGGTCTTCATCATCATCTAAAATATTGAGCCTTTCCATTGAGCTATCTATAGAAGGTGCAGAGGAAGATGTCGCGGAAAGCGGGGTGCGCACACGTAATTCATCGTCAGAACTTTCGCTACCGTCAGAGGGTGCATGCTCAGCAGGCACAAGCGCTAAAATTCTACCACCACGAGTTAGAAATTTTTGCTGCCGACAAAGAAAATAAAACGTGCTATAAAACCAAGTAAATAAAAAAAGCATCCTCAAATTGGCAATGTATGCCGTGACATACAAACAAAATGGCGGGTGTTTCGTTACAAACTTGGCAGTGTATGTCACGTCATACATCATGTTAGTGGTCAAAATAGAACCATTCAATGCAATAGAAACACCACAATTATTATCACACTTATTCCATTACACAATAAAGCATTCATTTTAGTCATTACACCTGTCCTAAACTAAGTAATATTCATAATAATAGAATAAATACCTTGGACAACGCAGTTGACGTCCGCCGGGTAGCCATTTTTTCAAGTTATGTCAAAATAAATGTTGCTACATGTGTGTTTATTTTTTCCACCAAATAACAGTTAGTGTTGCAACATAAGAATGTTAATTTTCCACACGGAAGATGTAATTTTTTTAACAAATCTTTTTTTTTTAAATTCATGTATGACGGTACATACAGTGCCAAATTAAGGGATAACTACTATTTTTCATTTATGAACATATTTAAAATATTATCAATGTTTTGTGTAATATGGGAAATGTGGGTTTCATAAATGATCTTTTATTAAAAAATAAAGTTTAATACAGATTTAAAGAATCACAGTGGTTTAAATAATTTATACAGTATGTAACAAATCACCCGTTGGTCATTTCAGTGTACTATGGATTTTAGCGTTTCTAATCAAGTAACTACCTAAATTTAATATTTTTAAAAACGTTATTTGCATCTGAACTAAACGACAAATGCTGACTTACCTACTGCTACTGTCTCTGACACGGCCGATATAGCATTTTTTCAAAGTTACCCGCTGTGCGGCGCGCGCTCCCCCAAGGTTTGTGTGAATGATCCTCTCAACAGTATCTTTCAAAATTGCCGATCATATATTATATGTTGTAACCATTGCGGCTATTTTTTACTGCCAAGGAGAAATAATTTATTTAATTCGTGTTTTCTTTAAATATATGGGTATAATGTTATGGTTTATACAATCACGTAGTTATAATAAAAATGGTTTTTCATCTAAATTTATATATTATTATAACATTAGCTAAGAATGCTAAGAATCTCCGGTGGAGGTTCGGTTGCCACCTTAGACGACTCGACCTGGCAACGTACAACGCACGCACCCTGAGGACTGACGAGAAGATCGTGGAGCTGGAAGAAGAGATAGACAAGTTGCGCTGGCATATTATAGGATTATCTGAAGTCCGAAGAGAGGGGGAGGACACGGTATTCCTCGAATCCGGCAACTTGCTCTATCACCGGGAGGGCGACCATCTGTCCCAAGGAGGTGTCGGATTTATCGTCCACAAGTCTCTCGTTAACAACGTTGTAAAAATCGGGAGTGTGTCGACGAGGGTTGCGTACCTTATACTCAGAATCACCAAACGGTATTCGCTGAAGGTCATACAGGTTTACGCACCAACCTCGGCACACCCCGATGAGGAGGTGGAGGAAATGTATGAGGATATCTCTAGAGCCATGCATTCCTCCAAAACCCAATATACGGTGTTAATGGGAGACTTAAATGCAAAACTAGGCACAAGAGAGAACGGTGAGCTGAAAGTAGGGAAATTTGGAATAGGGCAACGGAACCCAAGGGGCCAGCAGCTGGCCGACTTCATGGAGAAAGAGGGACTCTTTATGATGAACTCTTTCTTCCAGAAGCGGCCCCACAGGTAGTGGACCTGGTCGAGCCCCGACGGTTCCACAAAAAATGAGATTGACTTCATTATGACGACCAGACGACAACTGTTCAGTGATGTCTCCGTGATCGCGAGGGTGAAAACTGGTAGCGATCACCGAATGGTTAGAGGCACACTGAACCTAAACGTTAAGTTGGAGAGGTCTCGTCTAATGAAGTCAACGCTCCGTCCCCCTCGTGCTCTGTTTCAAAGTCCCGAAACCTTTCAGCTCGAGTTACAAAACCGTTTTCATTGCCTAGAAGACTGCAATGAAGTGGACGATATGAATGACAAGCTCGTGGAAACTGTCCATGCGGTTGGAGCTAAGTTCTGCAAGACCCGCCGCAGAAGAACACAAAAACTCTCCGATCACACTCTTAATCTCATGGCTGTTAGACGGGAGATGAAGCTACATTCTTCAACAGACTTGACAGCATACAGGCATCTGAACAGACAGATCTCCAAATGCATGCGGCGGGACTTACGCAACTTCAATACAGCTCGTATTGAAGAAGCGATCGAACGGAACCAAGGCTCCAAAGTCTTTGCCAGAGATCTGTCTGCCAGAAAGAGCCAACTGTCAAAGCTGAAGACAGAATGTGGCAGCATCGTTTCCGGGACACCTGAGATTTTGAGTGAGATTGAGAGGTTCTATGGGCAGCTGTACACATCATCGTTGGAGCCACACGCAAGTGTGAGTAACGATCCAAGAGCGAGTCTCATCCGACACTATTCCGAAGATATCCCGGATGTCAGTCTGAGCGAGATTAGGATGGCTCTCCAGCACCTTAAAAACGGTAAGGCCCCAGGCGAGGATGGAATTACAGCGGAGCTTCTGAAAGCGGGTGGAAGACCGGTACTTGAAGTCCTTCAGAAGCTCTTTAATTCCGTCCTCCATGGTGGTATTACACCGGAGGCGTGGAGCAGAAGTGCGGTGGTCTTGTTCTTCAAGAAAGGTGACAACGCTCTCTTGAAGAACTACAGACCGATTTCCCTTCTGAGCCGCGTCTACGTGCTGTTTTCGAGAGTCATTACGAATCGTCTCGCGCGCAGACTTGACGACTTCCAGCCTCCCGAACAAGCCGGTTTCCGAAAGGGCTTTAGCACCATAGACCACATACATACCCTTCGGCAAGTTGTACAGAAGTCCGAAGAGTACAATTTGCCACTATGTCTGGCGTATGTGGACTATGAGAAAGCCTTTGATTCCGTCGAAATTTGGGCGGTGCTGCAGTCCCTTCAGCGGTGCCAAGTTGACTGTCGGTATATCGAAGTGTTGAAGTGCTTGTACAGTAGGGCTACGATGGCTATCCGAGTACAGAACCAGAGTACGAAACCTATCCAATTGCAGAGAGGTGTAAGACAGGGTGACGTCATATCCCCGAAACTCTTCACCGCTGCATTAGAAGACGTTTTCAAGCTTCTGGACTGGAAAGGATACGGTATCAACATCAATGGCGAGTACATCACTCACCTTCGATTTGCCGATGATATAGTCCTTATGGCAGAATCGCTGGAGGACCTAAGCACTATGCTCAATGACCTCAATAGTGTTTCCCAACGGATAGGTCATAAGATGAACATGGACAAAACTAAGATCATGTTTAATGTCCATGTCACACCTATGCCGATAGTTGTTGGGAACACTAAGCTCGAAGTTGTTGACGAGTATGTTTACCTGGGACAAATAGTCCGACTGGGTAAGTCCAACTTCGACCGAGAGGTCAATCGACGGATTCAACTCGGCTGGGCAGCGTTCGGGAAGCTACGACACATCTTCTCGTCAGACATACCTCAAAACCTTAAAACGAAATTGTACAACCAGTGCGTGTTGCCAGTGATGACTTACGGAACTGAGACGTGGTCCTTCACTGCTGGCCGTATGAGGAAGCTCAAGGTCGCTCAGCGAGCTATGGAGAGGGCTATGCTCGGAGTTTCTCTGCGTGATAAACTTAGGAATGAGGATATCCGCAGTAGAACCAGAGTGACCGACATAGCCCAACGGATTAGTAAGCTGAAGTGGCAGTGGGCCGGCCATATAGCTCGAAGAACCGACAACCGATGGGGAAGAAAGGTTCTCGAGTGGCAGCCTCGTACCGGTAGGCGAAGTGTAGGGCGTCCCCCCACGAGATGGAGTGACGACCTGGTAAGACATGCAGGAAGTCGATGGATGCAGGTGGCTCAGGACCGTGTTTTGTGGCATTCTTTGGGGGAGGCCTATGTTCAGCAGTGGACTTGTGAAGGGCTGTAATGATGATGATTATGATAACATTAGTGGTAAACGCGAAGTATAATAGTCATTTCCAGCAATTTCATATAGTTCTTAGAAACTTTAAATTTAAAAATAATAGCAATAATAATGAAAATATTTTAATAATGTGCTGGTAGTTTATGAAAATTCCATCTCTTCTTGAATACCTAATTATAATTAATATGTTCATATTTATTTTATATTATAAATTATCTTAAAAAAATCATTTTATGAAGTCACTTAACGAGAAAAATTCTTAGTTCCGCTAAGTAGATGATGATGTTTTGACGAGTTCTAACATTTTCTAAAATTCTTCATTCATTCGTTACGATCTATCAAAGTCAACTACTGAACATAACCTATCCTATCAACGTCCTAGCCTATCCAACGGATAACCTCATAAGGGGGTATTTTTCAGTTCCCACTTTTGCCAGGCGCGTTGGCAACTGCAGTTTTTTACTTTGGACCTAGTTGTTGTTAGCAAAATGCCCATCTTCTGGTTTCCATCCGTCACACCCACGGGATGATTTACTTACTTACTTACTTATCTTCACGCACAATCCCTGACGGGGTAGCCAGAGAGAACAGATCGCCAAGTGTCACGATCCTTACATACCTCTTTCGCTTCTTTCAGATTCATTATCTTCTTCATACATGCACGTCTAGGTATCCGAGTACTCTTGACCCTCTCCTCTTCGAGCAATTTGCTCACATGGTCTTCGAAAGTTACTCTCGGTCTACCTCGACACCTTTTAATATTTATTTTCGCGCTATATATTTTCTTCACCATTCGGTCTTCACTCATTCGCTCAACGTGCCCAAACCATCGAAGTACGCCCTTATCAATTTTTGTGATAAGGTCATCTTTCAAACCTGCCATATTGCGAATCTCTTCGTTTCGCTTTCGGTCGGCCATGGTAACGCCGCACATTTTACGAAGAGATCGCATCTCCACTGCATTCAACTTGCTTTTATGCTTCTTCTGGCATACCCAGGTTTCGCTGCCATATAACAAAGTCGGTACCAACACTGCGTTATGTATTGCAAGGCGTGCACTCTTCACTACGCCTTGCCTTTTGACTAACGCAGTCAGGGCACCATTGACTTTGTTCCCGGCAACGACACGCCTGTCCACATCTAAATCACATCTTCCATCCCGGCTAAAAGCACTCCCCAAGTATACAATTTCATTTACCTGTTCTAGACATTCCTGATTTACCCATATTTCACACTTCGTTCTCTCTTCGTCCCTTTCAAATACCAGAACTTTAGTTTTATTAGCATTCAAACGGAGACCTTTAATTTCACATTCCTCTTTCATACACGTGACTAATGCGTGCAGTTCTGCCTCTGATGGTGCA